CAGGGAGCCCGATGCGGGACTCGATCCCGGGATTCCAGGATCATGACCTGAGCCGAAGGCAGTCGCTTAACCAACTGAGCCACCCAGGCGCCCACCAGCTCTGATTCTTAATGGCAGCTCTGGTCTCACCTCCTCCAGGCGGCCTTTCCTGACTCACCTCTGTTACGGAACCGTGAACCTATCTTTCCTCGGTCTAACGCTCCACCACAACACTGTGAGGGGAGGAATGCGCCTTTCATTTCTGCATCCCTGCAGCTTGGCAACTGGCCTAGCTTGGTGTCGCCCCCCTTCAGCTGTCCCTTCTGGGTGAATTTGGCACATCTGTATACCATCTATATTATTGTTTATATTGAGAGATTTATAAAATAAAGGAGAAAGCAAGAATATTTAATAAATATTCATGTTGCTTTCATCTAGATTACTAACCTAGTGCTATATTTCTTTCAAGTCACTTTGTTTTTTACAAAAAAGGAATTGAAATTTTTTATAATTTTTATTTCCTTGGATCGTCAATTCTAGCCATATTCCTTCCTCTCTTCCCTTCCTCTTAGGGAGAAAGTTTTTAAGGAAAAGTGGCAAGAGGGGTGCCTGGGTGGCTCAGCCTCTCCCTCTGTCTGCCACTCCCCCTTCTTGTGCTCGCTCTCTCTTTCTAATAAATAAACAAAAATTGAAAAAAATTAGCAACAGTAACTAGTAATAAAATAGAACAATTCTAACAATACACTGTGATAAAAGTTATGTGAATGTGGTCTCTTTTAAAATATCTTACTGTAATGTTCTCACCCTTCTTGCATTGATGTGAGATGATAAAACACCTACGTGACGAGATGAAGTGTGGTGAATGGCGGAGGCTAACGAAGTTGAGTTAGGCTACGATTGACCTTCTGGTGATTCGCCAGCAGGCGGTCATCGGCTTCCAGACCAAGGTTGACCGCGGGGAACTGAACCTGTGGATGAGGGTGAACTGCTGTAATCATTTGGTGTATTCTTGCCACTTTTTAGAAAGATTTATTTATTTATTTATTTGATAGAGCAGAGGAGAGAGAGAGAGAACACAAGTGGGGGGGGGAGGGGCAGAGGGAGAGGGAGAAGCAGGCTCCCTGCTAAGCAAGGAGCCCGATGCAGGACTCGATCCCAGGATCCCGGGGTCATGACCCCAGCTGAAGGCAGACGCTCGACCGACTGAGCCACCCACTGTCCTAATTTATAAATTAAACTTTATCGTCAGTGTGTATGTATAGGAAAAAACAGTATATATAGAGTCCAGTTATCCCTGGTTTCAAGCATCCGTGAGCAGTCTTAGAATGTATGCCCTGCAGATAAGGGGCAACTACTGTATTTCAAATCAACCATCTCTGAAGGCTTTTCAACAAAAGCACAAAGCTCACACAGAGGAAGCCGCGGATGTGTCCCTGCAGGGCACTTACTCTAATTCAGACAAACATGCCTCTATTTGGAGATAATTTCTTTCAGAGAGAATGTATGAAGTTCCTGTTAAATGAAAGATGTTGATGAGGATTATTTTGAAGAAAAATGGCCACTTCATTTTAGGTGTTAATCAAGGATGACTAGCTTCTTCTCTGATAATGTTGATTATACTCTTTCCAAATGATGTGGCTTAAGTTATGTAAATTAAAACTCTCTGGAATAGGTATGTTCTACGTCCGTTTCAATCATGAAGCTGCTAATTTCGCTTGCCATCGGTGAGACTATGGGCAAAAATTCCTTTTAGTTATGTGCAGGTATATTGTGGCAACAGATCTTTTGTTTAACAGGCTAAGTCCTTAAAGTACTTTTGGTACAGATTCAGTGAGTTAAATTACTCTAAGGAAACATTGGGGAGGGTATGCGCTATGGTGAGTGCTGTGAATTGCGTAGGACTGTTGAATCACAGATCTGTACCTCTGAAACAAATAATACATTATATGTTAAAAAAAAAAAAAGAAGAAGATAGCAGGAGGGGAAGAATGAAG